CAAGAGAAGAGAAGGAGCCTCCTCAAGCAGAAAACCAGCAAGCCTGGTCCTGCTTGGCCGCAACACCAGAGCCCCAAGACTGTGCGCACCTGGCCTCGCATGGCCAGCCCCTCCACTGAGCAGCCATGCAGTCAGTACTGAGCAGAGGCCAGCCAGGGAGCCCAGCCACACCACAGGGGTCTCGGGGCGCCAGAGCCTCAGCCACAGACCACGCAGCTCGGTTTGCCTTCAGTCTGAGCCCACCAAGCTCATTCCTGCTGAACACTGTCACTCCCCCTCTTCATGGAGGAATGACACAGGACCCTGCGCTGTTCTTTTGTCTGCTCGGCCCTTCCCGGGTTTGCTGTTGGTCCTTCCCGGGTTGGCTGCCGACCCCTCCACCTCCGTGGAGGGGCAGCTCTCCCTGCCACTTTCCCCGCTTCCGCGGAGGAGCGGCACACCACAGGTGTTCCTTCAAATGTTCCCCTTAGATGTTCCTGGTGCATGTTGTCTCTCTCCTCCTTTATAGTCCTCTTCCTCCAATCCCAACTCTGCTACCCACACGCTGAGCACGCTGCTCTCCTCCAATCAGGAGCAGGATCAGCTCCTGCAGCTTGTCAAACTGATGAGGCAGCTGCGTAGAGGTTGTCTGGTCTCTCTCTCCCAGCGCCATATTGTGGGAGAGCAGATGCATAGAATAAGTCTTAATTCCAGTAACTTAGTCTAGTCCGAGTTGCTCCCCACAAACACGTTTGCTGTGTCACTGAGTAGGACACAAATCTCCAACCAGCAGTGGGAAATGTGCTCTCAGATGATTTGATAGAATGTGATCTTGTGCCCAACCCGTGCCTCTGTTTAATCTGAAGCTATAGCCTAGCTTTTCCTGTGTTGGGGAATCACTTTAACTGAATTGTGTGGGGTGAGAACTTGGATGAGCAGCCATTGGCCCCCTCCATCCTCACTCCTTCCCAGGGTCCACACCTGTTTCTCCATCCCTCAGCCCCATTCCTCTCTCCCTCCAGCACTCTCCCAACCTATTTTTTTTCCAGGATCCTAAACCACCTGCTACTGAATCTCCTAAGAAGATCCATGCACAGATTCCCTCTCCCAGCCCATGAGACCACACCACCGGCCAACCCTCCCCGACAGCACACACAGAGCACAGGAGTGAGCAGAAACCCTGGGGCTCAAAGCACCAGAGCTGAATGGAGCCCAGACCAGACTGAGCCCTCCTCCCCACCAGGGAAAAGATGGGTCCAAGACAGGGGACCTGCTCAGCCATTAACCCGGATGTGTGCCCCTCATCTTGTGCTCATGCTGCACACGGTGTGTCTACACCTTTGATCTATGTCCTTCTGTAAACAAAGAGCTGAGGCGATTGTTGGGCAAGAAACAGAAAATCCACTCGTGTGAAAGCAAGCAAACGGGCAGCAACAACTTTCTCAAACAGGGACTTCACAGCTGGCTCCTTGCTATCAGCCCCAGCTGTCTCCCTAAGGACTCGTGCGTGTGTGTGTGTGTGCGAGACAGAGAGAGAGAGAGAGAGAGAGAGAGAGAGAGAGAGTCCTTGTCTGCTGGTTCACTCCCAAGGTGTCCACAATGCCCAGGCTTGGAGGGGACCAGGGAAGGGACAAAACCTGAAACTCAATCCAGGTCTCCCATGTGGGTGGCCCAAACCTAACCACTTGAGCCATCACCGCTGCCCCGCAGAGTGTGCACCACAATAAAACTGGGGTCAGAAACCGGAGGCAGGAATTGAGCCCAGGCAGTCCACTGTGGTCTTCAGGCATTCCCACAGGTGTCCAAGCCCCTGAGTGGGAGCCCAGCAGGACCCTGGACATGGAGGGTGCATCTTGTGTGAACTCTGGGGTTCTCACAAGGGGGTGTTGCAAAATCCCGAGTTTGGGCCCCTTGATTCTCTCTGCTTCCTACCTCACCATGTGGTCCTCCCTCTGCACCTGCTCCTCCACCCAGTGTCTGACCCGGACCCCTCGCCAAAGCCGGAGCTTGCAACACGCCTTGTCAACGTTGAACCCCCAAAGCAGTAAGCCAAATAAGCCTCTCTTTCCTTTCGAAGTAGCCTAAGCAAAATGGCTAACAGGAAGATGTAACTTTTGTTTCCCTGGTGAAAGAATTTAGAAAAGTGTTCATCAACAGAAGTCTTAGTAAACCAGCTATGGTCAATCTATAGAATGGAGCACCGTGCAGCTGTCACAAAGAAAAGAGGGAGAGAGGGAGGAAAAGAAGAAGAGGAAGGGGGGGAGGGAGAAAGGGGGAAGGAGAGGGACAGGGGAGGGAGGGTGAGAGGGAGGAGGAGGGGAGGAAGAGGGGGAGGGAGAGAGGGAGGGGGAGGGAGCAGGAGGAAGAGGGGGAGGGAGAGGGGGAGGGAGGGGGGAGAGGGAGGGAGGAGGAGAGGGAGGAGGAGGGGGAGAGGGAGGAGGAGGAAGAGGGAGAGAGAGGAGGAGGGGAGTAAGAGGGGGAGGGAGAGAGGGAGGGAGGGGGAGAGGGAGGAGGAGGGAGAGGAAGAGGGGAGGGAGAGAGGGAGGGAGGGGGGAGGGAAAGGGGAGGGGGAGGAAAAGGGAGAGGGAAAGGGACAGGGGGGGTTCTGCAGCACCTGGGTGCCCCCCCACCCAGAGCTAGCCCTAGCTCCTGCTGGCTTCTCCCTGTGCTCCACAGAGCCCAGCGGCTGGGAAGAGCATGGTGCCCTGCACGGGGACAGCTTCCTGGGCAGAAAGGGGTGGGTAATGGGATCGGAAGGCGAGGGGCAAATAACAGCACAGATGGTCCTGAGTCGTCTCCATGGACACTTTGATGAGGTTGCGAATTTTGAATTATGCAAATGTGCATCCTGTTCAAAAAGTTAAAGAAAAACTAAACCAGTCCAAGAAGAACACCATCGGGAGCCAGTGGATACAGGATGAGACAGACAACAGCGTGCCTGCCCCTCCCCCACTGGTCCACGCAAGCAGGAAGGGAAGCAAGGAGCCCTCCAGGCCCCAGAGTAGACTCAAAAAGTCAAAAATGGGAAAACAAAAGGGGAGTGGTGTCCAGGATTTGGTGTGGGGCTGTGGGTTATTTCTTATATTCCCTGCCACACTGCAGGTGTATGAATTGGAATGCTCCGCCTCTGCTTCAGTCTTGGGGACGGTGTGGAGTAAAATGATCTCATGGGAGACACGTGCTCCAGGCTGCAAGGCAGAGAGCAACCCACTGACAGCCAACAAGGACGCACCTGCAACGGGAGCCAGGCTGGGAAGATGCCAGAAGCTCCTGGGCACAGACGCCGAGGCTCGGTGCTTTGCAAAGGGCAGTGTCAAGGCGTCTACAGGATGACAACCCTGTTCATTGCATGAGCCTGTCTGGGTTGTCTCCAAGACGCATGCTCGCTTTGGCAAGATGGGCCCACTTGAAGGTGAGCTCAGAGGCCCATCAGCTGCCTGTCTGCCTGGGAACAGAATTGAACGGCAGGTGGGCCGCTGCTCTCACACCCACCTCCCCTGGGAGCAGTGTGGACTGTACTGCTTGGGCCTCAGCAGCAGTGGGAGTTTCCAGCAGCCTCCAGTCTGGCCCAGAGATGTTCAGAATTCAAAGCTCTAAAGGGATCATGGAGCAGGCATTGCTGTGTAACGGGTTACACTGGCATCTCACTTGGGCGCCAGTTCAAGCCCCAGCTGCTCCACTTCCAATCCAGCTCTCTGCTATGGCCTGGAAAAGCAGTAGAAGATGGCCCAAGGGCCCTGCACCCACATGGGAGACCTGGAAGAACCTCCTGACTCCTGGCTTCAGATCAGCTCAGCTCTAGCCATTGCAGTCATTTGGGGAGTGAACCACCAGGTAGAAGACCTCTCTCTCTCTCTCTCTCTCTCTCTCTCTCTGGCTCTACCTCTCTGTAACTCTGTCTTTAAAATAAAATAAATCTTTTTTACAAAATGAAAGCAAAAGGGCCATCACTATGGCATAGCAGGTAAAGCTGCCGCCTGCAGTGCCGGCATCCCACATAGGCACCAGTTCAAGTCCCAGCTGCTCCACTTCCAATCCAACTCTCTGCTGTGGCCTGGGAAAGCAGTAGAAGATGCCCAAGTCCTTGGGCCCCTGCACCCACATGGGAGACCTGGAAGAAGCTCCTGGTTCCTGGCTTCAGACAGGCCGAGATGCATTACCACCTGATTTCCCAGGCATAAACAGGTGTGGCCATCTGGGGAGTGAACCAGCAGATGGAAGACTTTTCTCTCTCCTCTCTCTCTCTCTCTCTGCCTCTGCTGCTCTAAATCTTCCTATCAAATAAATTAGTTCACTAAAAATTTTAAAAATGAAAATGAAAGCAAAAGAAAATTTACAAAAAAAGGGATCACATTGGATAAAACCCAGTGCTCCTAAGGGGAGCACGGAATCCCGAGGGAGGTGTGGCTGTGCAGTGGCGTGGGGGCCCTGAGACAGAGCTGTGCTGTACTTAGGAGGACCATGGGCCAGGGCCAGGGATTCCCACGGGGCAGTGGTCAGTTCTCACAGCTCCCCCTGCTGGCAAAGGAAGGTCCCAGCTGGACAAAGCCACAGCCTCCCTTCTTCCCACGCCACACTGCTCTTTGCCCAGTCGACGTGACCCTCCCCTGAAAACCTGTGCCCCTCACTCGCCTCCAGGACGGGTTCAGAAAAGCAACAAACCATGAGGCTCTCCACAAAGAGTGGGAGAAGCCCCAAGATCTTGTTGGGGTCTGATGTGAAGGTTCTGAGCGCCCCCGACACAGACACACACCCCATCATCATCATCGTCACTGAGCCTCCAGGCGCTTCCCAACTCAGGCGGAAGTGAGAGGGAGAACTCCAGGAGCGCCGTGTGCCCGGCAGCACTCCCCGCTGACTCTCCCAGAAACACCCAAGAGCATGGTGCCAGCATCGACTTCTGGTGAGGGCGTCACAGCCGATCACAGCACACGGAGAGAACCAGGAAGAGGGAGCGGTCACGTGACGGGATGGAAGCGAGCCGGCACAGCCAATCACAGCACACAGAGAACTAGAAAGAGGGAGCGGTCACGTGACAGGAAGGAAGCGAGCCAGCACAGCCAATCACAGCACACGGAGAGAGCACCAGGAAGAGGGAGTGGTCACGTGACAGGAAGGAAGCGAGCCAGCACAGCCGATCACAGCACACGGAGAGAGCACCAGGAAGAGGGAGCGGTCACGTGACAGGAAGGAAGCGAGCCAGAGCAGAAAGCTGAGCTTGCTTTAGGACAACCTGCGCCCCAGGTAGCCAGTGGAGTCCTGCAAAACCTAGCCCAGGCCCACAGGACAGGCGCCGGTCCCTTCTGTGGGCCGGCTCCCCCTGACCTGACCACCCTAAAAGGCCCCCTCCCCCTCTCAATCCTGCTGTGGGAGTGGGGGAGGGGAGGGAGCGAGCCTCCTGCACATGACCCGCTCAGTGGAAAACTGCAGCCCACAAGATCTTGACCCTTGCAGGTTAGATAGCCTTGCCTTTAAAATATATATATATATATATTTATTTATTTATTTGAGAGGCAGAGTTACAAAGAGAGAGGTCTTCCATCCTCTGGTTCACTCCCCAAATGGCCATAACAGCCAGAGCTGGGCCAGGTGGGTCTCCCACGTGGGTGCAGGGGCCCAAGGACTTGGGCCATCTTCCACTGCTTTCCCAGGTCGTCAACAAGGAGCTGGATCAGAAGAGGAGCAGCCGGGACTCAAACCAGCACGGATATGGGATGCCGGCACTGCAGGCAGAGGCTTAACCTACCACAGCGCCGGCCTCCACCTAGCACTCTTTATCAGGGAGGGGCCAATTTATTGGGAAAGGAAGGAGAGAGGCTCACTCCCGTCATTCACTGTCTAAGGTCTGAGCGCCCAGCAGCCAGGTGAGTCGACTTTACTGAGTGTATACTTTGTATGACACCTATGCCAGCCACTGGAGGCCCTACAGGACACAGGAGACAGAATCTCACGCTAGAAGCACCAGCCTCCCACAAGGACAGCAGCACAGCCACCAATACCTGCAGGACAAGCTCACAGGCACCAAGCGGGAGTTGCAGCTTAGATAAGTAGGTTGCTGTGTAGATTATTTGCTGAAAAGTTTGAAAAATTTCAAGTGAACACTAGAAGTCAGAATGGCAGTAAACACCTGTGGATCCTTGACCTTGACCCATGGCCTAACATTTTCCCACAGCTGCTTTCTCATCCCTTCCCTCTCTAAATCTCCTTCTCTCCTCCTCACCAAATCCTTTGAAAATAAACTAAAGCCTGTTTCATGCCCACATGTTTGTTCTAAGAAAGAAAGATACTTTCCCATGTGACTTGAATGTCACTGTCGCACCCAAGAAAGCTAACAGGGATATTATCTAATATACGGTCTCGATTCCAATGTCTTAGTGACCCCGGTCAGCAAGGCCTATGCAGGGTCTTTGATCACTGGGCCTCTGTAGTCTCCTTTTACCTAGAACAGGCCTATGCTGGTGGTTGTGTGTGTGCGTGTGTGTGTGTGTGTGTGTGTTGCAGTGTATCTTTTTAGAGGCCCGGCTAGCTGTTTTGTGGAATGTTCTACAGTGACCGTGTCCCCATTGACAGACTGAGTGTAAACGCTTTGCCTCCTCCTGGTTGGAGTCAGGTTAAACACCCAGTGCTGAGTATTTGATGTGTGCCTCTCCCCTTGCACCAGCGCAGGTGGCCCGTGACGTCAGCCTCCCCCATGACCGAGCTGCTGACGTGCGACTGTGCGGAGTGCCGTCAGACCTCTCCGGTGTCAGGGGCCATTTTCCCTTGTGATTAATACATGAGCTTGGGAGCGATACTCTGCAGCCGTGAGAGCCTCGTGTTCCCCCACACTTCTCATCCATGACTCTCACCTGCAGCTGTTGCACACAGAGACTTGCTCATTCCCTCCCTTTCCACCCAGGCCCCTCGCTCCCTCTTGTTTGGCCCTGGTCTGCTTTTGTCCTGCCCATCTGAGGGAGGAGGAGGTGCTAGCTACAGCTGAAACCATGAAGGAAACTTCAGGAAGAACCACGGCACTTAGAGAAGTGGATGGAACCTCAATAGCTACATTTGCAGCCTTAGAGTGGGAAGCAGACACTCCCTAGAACCCCAGACAGGTGTCCCGGGCGGGCTAGCCTTGGGTGGCTTCCTTTCTCCTGGTGTATTAGACACACATGTGCAGAGTCACATAGGGGAGCTGGAACCAGAACTGTGCCCATCACCAGGCCAACAGTTGGCTGGGATCCTGAGTCACAGGGTCAGGCCCCATCTTCTCCTTCGCACGCGGAGCCCTCTATAAACCTTGCGCTTTACCTGCTGACCTGGAGGCCATGCTCATCTCTAGGCTGAGGACCCCTGGATTCCTCAGAGACACAGCTGTGGGGAAAATGCGCTTCAGACAGTGCCTCAAGGCAACGATGTCACTTGAGAGTTTGGGGAAGAAAAATATTTGTTCTTGTTTGAAAAAGCAGGAATATGATTAACACAATTAAAACACAAACGGCGAGCAAACTGAAATGAAAACACCAGAGTTCAGGAAAATTTTGCTTTTTTTATAAGCCACTATGGGATTTGGGAAGCCCCCAGACTCCCAGGGGTGCACATCCGCAGCTGCACTGAGCGGCACATCTGAGAAACACTGTGTGGAGCCAGCAAAGGAAAGAGCCAGGCATCAGGTTTCGGCAGGAAAGCAGAGAGTGCAGTGGAAAACGCGCAAAATGTGGACTTCTTTGGAGTCAGTGTGGTAGGCGTGTGAGGAGAGAACTACCAGCAACTAAATACGGAAGCGTCTGGTGTCTTATCACATCCTTACTGTCAGAAAGGGTCCCCTTTGTCTTATCCGACAGATAACCCAGATCCTTCCTGGGTGTGTTGACACAGAAAGGACACGTTCTAACTTTTCCTGTTGTTTAATTTAGGATCTGATAGAATATGAGTTCCAAGCTCTCATCAGGATTTGGAATCTGGGCCATCATTTTACACGTGGGAGAAGAAATTAAAGAAGAAGAATTTTAAAAGAACAGAATTAAGTCACCATTTTATAGAATTCATAAAGATCTGAGAGTTCAGATTGAGTTAAGCCATTCATAAACCCAGGCAGAAGAAAGTTAAAAATCAATAAACCCTCTGAGTGTGCATTTTTATGAAGTGGAAACGATGCTAATTCCTGTAACTATGAAGTGGGAGGCTTCTTTGGATCCAACGATCAGTTTCAACTCTGGGCTGTCTTACATTTTTAGTTTATTGCCTCTCTGGAACCAAAATCTCAGCCGCTAAAATGCCAACAATGTTTATAAGAACGCCAAGGACACTGCTGGCTGTGGCACCAATGTCTTCCCTGGGTGCCACCCTGCCCAGGAAGCGGATATTTCTACAAAGCTGACCTGGAGAAGTCAGACCAGGATGGGGCACACTCAGTAGATTAGACAGTACACCATGCACTCATGAAGAGCAGATCACCTTGGGAACAGGGGTCTCTGAGAGCAGGAGCAGCGTGCATCACTGGGCACCAGGTCCTCCCATGAGGACACCTTAGTGGAACCGTGCAAAGCCCCGCCCGTCTCTCCACCTCCCATTCCTAAACTCCGTCTAAGCCGCATCATGCCTGCTGTCTTTGTCACAGCTGATGGGTATGTATCCTTTTGCCCAAGGTACGTGTCTGCCACTTGACAGAAATTCTGTGGGAGAGAGGATCACGCTTCACTGCCCATAGGTGTCCACACCTACCACTCACCATGCAGTACAGGCAAGGTGAGTATTTGTCAAGTGAATGAACACATAGCTCACAAGTGGCTCCCAAGTCCTGTCTGAGAGTGTTTCTCTTTCTCTAGGTACTGGTCGCTCAGTAATGGGGCTGCAGTCTATTCTAGTTAATCAAGAGTCCAGGGTCCAGACTCTGCTTCGTGACTTCAGTCGTTTGTCCAGCTAGTGTGCTCTGAGCCCTTGTCATGGCCCGAGGTCTACAGCAGGAACTGCGGGTATAAAGACAAACAGGGAGCATGGCAGCGTGTTAATACGTCAGTCCAATCAAAGCCAGCCCCACAGCGACTGTTTCTTCTCAGGGGCAAACACGGTGAATCTTTCCCTTAAAGCAATACAAAAAAAGAAGTATAAAGTTAGGAAGAATGTCAAAAGAGTGGCCTTGACTCTCCAGGATCCAGCCCAGAGAGGCCTGGGACTCTGCTTCACTCCTTGTAGATCTCAATTTTCCTCTCCTCCAATAAGCAGATGTTAGTAGAGATCCCTTTCTTGGAGACCCTCAGCCACCACCATAACAGATGTGCTTGAACTTCAGTGCCAATGCCCATTGATTAGCAGTGTCCTCCCAGAGCCACTACTGCACTCAGTGGGAAAAGACCACCATCACTAGGGGTGTCTTCCATGGGTGCCATATTCCTGTCCATCCATTAGGGGTGTCTTCCATGGGTGCCATATTCCTGTCCATCACTAGGGGTGTCTCCCATGGGTGCCATATTCCTGTCCATCACTAGGGGTGTCTTCCATGGGTGCCATATTCCTGTCCATTACTAGGGGCGTCTTCCATGGGTGCCATATTCCTTTCCATTACTAGGGGTGTCTTCCATGGGTGCCATATTCCTGTCCATCCATTAGGGGTGTCTTCCATGGCTGCCACATTCCTGTCCATCCATTAGGGGTGTCTTCCATGGGTGCCATATTCCTGTCCATCCATTAGGGGTGTCTTCCATGGGTGCCATATTCCTGTCCATCCATTAGGGGTGTCTTCCATGGCTGCCACATTCCTGTCCATCCATTAGGGGTGTCTTCCATGGGTGCCATATTCCTGTCTATCCATTAGGGGTGTCTTCCATGGCTACCATATTTCTGTCCATCACTAGGGGTGTCTTCAATGGCTGCCATATTCCTGTCCCTCATGCCCTAGGACACAGACATCAGTGGAGAATGGGCAAGGAGAAGATCAGAGGAAGATTTTCTGACTCTTCCAAGTATTGAGAACACAATAGGTGCATGAGAAACGCTTGTTAGATGGATGAGTCTCTTCACTCCATGAGAGGCATGCCACACTTTCTGTGCTGTTTGTAGCTGAATTGTGTGTAAGAAAGCTATGACTTTGGGCTGGAGACATTATAAACAGCCTTTGCTGTGTTTCTAATTTATGCTTATCCAAGCAGGTAGTATTTCTCTCAGTCTTCTGACTCATGTGGTAAAGACTCCTGACTTAAGGCAGCCACTGAAGATTTCCTGCACTCGCGCGTGACATACAACCCTTACCACACTCTGTTCTCTTCATCACCTGCAAGTTGTACAGCAACACAGACAATGTCTCATTCATGACTGTCCCATAAGTGACAAGAAAAATGCTCACTATAAATAAGGTTCTTAAGGAGTGTAAATTAAATACATGAGCTGAAAATGTTAGCTTAACAATAGAAATGCCTGGATATTGAACCATTACTGACACGACAGTTTTTTTTTTTCTGTATTTTTTTTTTGACAGGCAGAGTGGACAGTGAGAGAGAGAGACAGAGAGAAAGGTCTTCCTTTTTCCGTTGGTTCACCCTCCAATGGACGCCACGGCTGGCGCGCTGCAGCCAGCACACCGTGCTGATCTGAAGGCAGGAGCCAGGTGCTTCTCCTGGTCTCCCATGGGGTGCAGGGCCCAAGCACTTGGGCCATCCTCCACTGCACTCCCGGGCCACAGCAGAGAGCTGGCCTGGAAGAGGGGCAACCGGGACAGAATCCGGCGCCCCAACCAGGACTAGAACCCGGTGTGCCGGAGCTGCTAGGTGGAGGATTAGCCTATTGAGCCGTGGCACCTTTTTTAGCCTTTTTTCTGTATTGTGGAGTAGTATAAGTAACAGAGAGGTCTCTCAATTTGAAAGAAAAATAAATAAATTATTCAATATAAGGCAGAAAAGTAATTAATTCCTAAAGCACATCATGGTCTACTTAAAACTAGTATTTACCACTTAAACCATCTAGGTTCCTTCACTCCCTTTATGTTGTAGTTGTCTCATATTTAATATCTATGTGCATTGGAAACTCCACAAGGCAACATTATAACTTTTGCTTTCAATATATGTAAAGAACCCAAAGCAGTCTGATGTACTTGTCCAGACACCACGACTTCATTTGCTTTGCTCATTCTAAGTTTCCACGTTTCCCCTGCTGTCGTTTCCCTGCTGTGTAACATTTTCAGAGCATTCCACTGCGGACTAATTTAGTTAGCTTTCCTTTGCTGAGCGTGCTTCATTAGCACGGAGTAATTTTGCTGGACATAGAATTCAGAATTGACAGTTCTTGTCTTTGACCACTTTAAAAATGTTGCTCCATTATCCTCTGGCCACCATAGTTCCTGGCAAGAAATTTGCGGTTCAATTGATCTTTCCTGTGCGTGTAATGGATCATTTTTACCAAGGTTTTCAAGACTTCTTTATCTTTGGTTCTCGGCAATTTGAATATGATGTGTACAGGTTTTATTTTCTTTGGGTTTGTCCTTTTTGTGACTAACTGTGCTTAACTAAAAAAAAAGGAGAGAGAAGACCCAAATTGCAATAAAATTAGAGATGAAAAAGGAAATGTAGCAACAGACACTCCAGAAATAAAAAGAGTCAGTAGAAATGACTACAAAGAGTTGTATACCAACACACCGGGAAATCTAGCAGAAATGGATAGATTCCTGGACACACACAACCTACCTAAATTGAGCCATCAAGATACAGAAAACCTAAACAGACCCATAACCAAGACAAAAATTGAATCAGTGATAAAGACCCTCCCAATGAAGAAAAGTCCAGGACCGGATGGATTCACTGATGAATTCTACCAGACATTTAAAGAAGAACTAACTCCAATTCTTCTCAAGCTATTCAAAACAATTGAAAGAGAAGGAATCCTCCCAAATTCTTACTACAAAGCCAGCATCACCTTAATTTCTAAACCTGAAAAAGATGCAGCAGAGAAAGAGAATTGCAGATCAATTTCCCTGATGGACATAGGATGTGTAATATTTTTCACCAAACTGGGGAAGTTTTCAGCCATTATTTCTTCAGAAACATGTTGCTTCCCACTTTTTACTCCTCTATTTCTAACACTCTGATGACACAAATGTTGGACCTGTTAGTGTCACCCCATGGTTTCCAGGTTCTGTCCTCTTTTATTGATCTTTCCCTCTCTATCATTCAGATTAAATACTTTCTCACTCTTTCCTCTGTCTTCACCATTCTCCTATTTAACACATGCAATGAACTTTTCATTTCTCTTTTTGTGTCTTTAATTTTTCATACTCATTTTGTTCTTTTTTGTAGTTAATACATCTCTTCTGAGAACGTTTGCCTTTGCATTAATTTCAAGAATGTTTGTCCCAACTCCATGGAGCTTGTTTATAACAGTAGATCAAAGCACTCTGTGTGATCATTTCAGTGGATCTCCTTACAATTGGCATCTATTATTTATCCAGTCTCTTAAGTTCTAAAGATTTTCTTTGCTGTTGTTTGAGTTCTTCTAGATTATATCCTTATGGCAATTTGGGAAAACAGCATGAATGCCCCTCAAAAAAAAAAAAACTAAAAAATTGAATTATCATGTGATCCAACAATCCCACTCCTGGGCATTTATCCAAAGGAATGGAAGTCAATCTGTCACAGAGACATCTCACTCCTGTATTTATTGCACACTGTCCACTCTAGCCAGGAAATGGGAAGACCTTGAGTGTCCATCCACTGATGAATGGGCAAAGAAAACGCAAAATGCAGGGACAACAGAATACTGCAAAAAGCATAGCTATAAGAAAGAGGATGAGACTGTCATTAACATTGACTTGGATGAGACTGGAGGTCATTGTGTTAAGGGAAATAAGCCAATCACAGAAAGACAAGTATCGCATGACCTCATATCATATGTGGAGCATGAAAAAAATTGATCTCATAAAGGTCAAATGTACAGTGTTAGTTACCAAGGGCTGGGGAGAGACGGGGGGCTGGAGAAAGGCTGGAAATGGGCACTAAGTTATAGCTGGAGAGGAGTAAGGGATTCTGGGATTGTATTGCTTAGTAGGGTGACTGCAGATCATGCTAATGCACCATAAATTCCTCTCTTTAAAAAACTAGAATATAGGATTTTGGATTTTTTACCACAAATAAATGTTAAGTCTTTGAAGAAATAGATTTCTTTAATACAATTGGAAATTACACAATGTATACATGTATCAAGATACCACATAGTATTTCATAAATACATATAATTTTATGTCTGTTAATTTTTTCATAACATTTTTACTGAAAAGAAGTTTTTAGAGAATAGGTTCTAATCCAAGATGCTTTCCCGTAGGGTATACGTAGCTTTCTGCCTTAGAGATTGCAGTATGACATTCAAAGGGGAGAGGAGTTTTGAGCAACCTAGCTCAAAACCTACAAGAGAATTAGATTTGTTTAAAGCACCTTTAAATTGTGAAAGCAAGTAATATAGTTGTTAAATCTAATTGAAATTTTAGAAGTTTCTTTAAAATGGTCCACACAGTATGCACAACACCACAGCTAGTATAAAGCTGTCTGCATTTAGTTAGAAACACAAAAACAATACATATATATAAAAAATTAGATTGCATTCTGGCAATTTCAGTTATTTAATAAGATTCTGGATCCCATCGGCATTCTCTGTTCAGCATTGATCTTTCTGGGTTTGCTGGCAGTCAGTGTAGTTAGATACAGTCAAGTCCAGACCTGCCTCTTGAGGGCTGTGGAGCCAACGTGAGTTTAGTTTTCAATTTTCAATTTGAGTTTGCTGTGTGTTGGACTCACATCACACCTTCAGTCCCCTGAGTTCAGCCTGCACCCTTGGCCATGGTCTTCCCCAACGTTCAAACCACACAGGCTGGCCTCCTGAATCTCTGCGTCTGTAGGTACCACCCACTTTGTTTAATCTTACAATTTACTTTCTCCAGCCTGGGTTTAGCCGAATGCATCCCTGTGACATCGTTAACATATCCCTCAGTGCCCTGCTTTTCCTGTAAGCCGGTGGACAGCTCTAAAGGCTTAATCTGATTCAGGTTCAACTGCAGTAATTGCTGTTTCTGCTTTATTATACCGTGATCTGTGCTGTGATTTCA